GAACACTAATTCAAAGGGATACATGCACCCCTATGTTTATTGCAGCATTATTTACAATATCCAAACTATGGAAGCAGCCTAAGGGTCCATCGACTGATGAATGGATAAAGTAGAGGTGATATATATATATACACAATGGAATATTATTCAGCCTTAAAAAGAATGAAATCTTGCCATTTGCAACAACATGGATGGATCTAGAGAGTATAATGCTAAACGAAATAAGTTAGTCAGAGAAAGACAAAGACCATATGATTTCACTCATATGGGGAATTTAAGAAACAAAACAAATGAGCAAAGAAAATAAGAGAGAGAGACAAAGCAAGAAACAGACTCTTAACTATGGAGAACACACTAACCAGAGGGAGGTGGTGGGGGGATGGATGAAACAGGTGATGGGGGTTAAGAAGGGCACTTGTTGTGATGAGTACCAGGTGATTAAAATTAAAACTTAAAAAAAAACTCATGGGGAAAATTAAAACAATGTTTTATGTTTTGACTAATTATTGTGAATACAGTCATAAAATAATGTCAACGTCAAAATTATTTTTAAGGTAAGAAAGGTTTATTTCTGTTGTCAAAAAAATAAAAAATATAAACCTATTCAGTGATTTCAGTTCAAAAAAAATGGAAATAGGTATCTTCCCAATTACTGGGGGTACCTACAAATATGTGGATGCTGTAGCAGCTGTGTTGGAAAAGAATGATCTAGGAGCCATGGTATTGATGCTGGAGGCCAAGGCAAGCACAGGCTTAAGAGTCAAAACCTATCCGGTCTGAAGCACACCTCTGCCACCACTGGTTGTGTGTGTATCTTTGTGCTCACTTGCCAATCCACTGGCCTTGCCCGTGCCCCGTCCCCCCGCCTCCGCACTCTATCTTCTGCACCAGTTAGCTTCCCCTTCTTGATGGCCCTACCATCTTCAGTGAGCTGGGCTCAGAATCTGAACATTTTGGACTCATTCTCACTACACTATTCTCCAACCCCAGTCTCTCCACGTTTGATTCCTAGCTCTCGCACATAACAAGCTGTGTAACCTTTGGTGAACCACTTAGCCACTCTGATGTTCAGTCTTACCATATGACAATAGACATAATAATGTACCCACCTCACAGGAATGTTGTATTACACGTACACAGCCTAGAGCAGTATTCACTAAGTGTTAGCTATCCTTGTTACTGTTCTCCAACCCTACAACACAGGGGCCTGCCCAGGGTTTAGGACTTCTAATAGCCTACAAAAGGGAAGTCCTGTGAAGAGAAGCGGGTTATGGCTCTAATTTCAGGGACATACTAAACTGTAAGAATCTACTAATGAAAAAGCATAAAACCCAAGACCCATTAAAGCTGTTAGGAAAAAAACTGTTATTTTCAGTCCAAGACAGATAAAATTCTCTAATGCTGTATTCTGTTTGAGGAAACACAGAAACTTTTAAATTCTTTGAATTAATTTTCTAAGAGATTTGTTAATTTCCTCACCCACTCAAAAGAAAAGGCATAAGAGGAATATCTATAGGAAATTAAAGATTTTAACATACTTGTTATATGTTATCCAGCTAAGTAAGAAGGGCTATGTCCTCTAATTATTTAAGTAAGCACTAATAAATCTTTGCATCTAAGGAAGAAAACACACCTCGGCACCGAAGAACATGTCTAAGATCTGCAGTCCACAGTTTCTCCGGTCCTCATCTGCAGCCACTTCATATTCCGCCTGACGGTATAGGGGAGAACAAAGAAAAATAGTAGTGGAGCTTCTTCACTGAGTTCACAGTGTTTCGAATTCTCTGACATACAGAATCAGCTGGGTACCCTGAGAACCACAGAGTAGCTCTAACTGATTTGATACTGATCCAGTATCTGCAGCTCTTCTTTGGGAAAACTAATGGCAATGAAGGGGAAAAAGTTTTCTTTGAGGGGTGAATAATAATGCAGCAGCGCAACACATTCCACAGTGCTCTGTCATATTACACCTTCAGCCCTTCAGTGTGGCCAAATAAAATAGAATCAAATAAACAGCTTGCATTGCTCTAGGCAACATCATTTTTAAAGAAATGTCGAAGAGGCACGTGGCAAATCTGAGTGCAGAGCTCCCAGAGAAGTCAGAGTTGGTGACACCAAAGCAGGAGACGTCCCTACGCAGGTGTCAGGCGGGGGACCGTAAGAGAGGATACCACCACGTAGGCCAGAACCCAGAGGAAGGGTCAAGGCAGAACTTGATCAGTATCTAAACCTCTACAAAGGATACACAAGGAAGAAACTGAAAAGAGAGAAAACCCGAGGAGAGATCATAAAAGCCTGGCTAAGAGTATTTCAAGCAGAGGCTATTCCACAATGTCAACAGACTTGGAGACTCAGGCACGAGGAGGGCTCAGTGAAGCCACTGGATCCTGCAGGTTGGGGCCTGAGAAGAGCAGCAAAGCTAACAGCCAGATGGGCTTGGAGAGATTGGTGAGGAAACCAAGACTGAAGGAAGTTCATGTACTGAACACATAAAGTCCTTGTGGTCAGGAGTCGGACCTCCAGAATACTTGATTCTGCCTCCTCCCGTGGGCCCAGCACAGGAGCCATGGCTGACAGGGCTGACGACCGGTCAGAGCCAGCTTCATGTTCTGTGTTCAAAGGCACTGAATTCACCCGACTAGTAACTAGACCCAGCTGACTTAGAGAACCTTCCAGCCTACGTTCTGGATGCTGGATGGCATGCAATCAACGGATTTTGTGATGGTCTTTCCACGTGCCAACCTGGCAGGAACAATGTCCAGTAGTTGTTCAAATACTAGTCATTGCTGTGCTGGTATTTGTAGGTGTGATTAAAGTCTTTACCAGCTGACTTTAAGTAAAGGAGATTATTTTAGAGAATCTGGGTGGGTCTGATTCAATCAGTTGAAAGGCATTAAAACCAGAGTTTAGGCTTCCTGAAGGAATTCTGCCTGAGGACAGCAGCAGCTTCACTCCGTGTTTGGAGGATTCCCTCCAGTCCTATAGATTTAAGACTCTCCTAACCAGACCTCATGATTGTGTAGGCCAATTCCTTGCAACAAACCTCTTAATAAATCTCTCCCATTGGTTGTTTCTCTCACTGAACACTAATTGCCAAAGATGCCATTAATTCAGTCAACAAACACTAAGCAGAAAAGAGCAAACAATCATGCCAGGTGCCATGAGGGAAATAGACAAAATGTAGTCTCTCCACTCCCGAAGCTCCAAGAACCTGCAATCATATACCACAAGGACAGTCAAAGCAGCGAGGACTGTGCAAATGGCATAATTAGGTGTTATTTATTAACCCACACAGCTGCCGCCAAAAATAAAACAAAACACAGAACAGAACCTGTCACTGAAGTCAACTGGCAGTCACCTAACAAGTAATAGGTCTCGTGTCACTATCAGAAGATCCAAACCTGAACAAATGTTAACAACGCAGTTTAGCCATTTTGAAATAAAGAATTGTAGGTCCCTAAATTTTTAAAACAGAGCAGCTTGGCAAATATAACCCAATACACTAAGCCACATCTATATTCTACTCCCGGAACTGACAAGGCCTGCCCCACAACACCAGAGTTTCTGGCTTAAAAAAAAAAATTACCTCCTTTCAAACCCTTGCCTTATTCTAGTAAAGGCACCAGGAAGGAAAGGGCTGGGGAGCTCCACAGGGGATAGGCAAGAGCCTCAAATGTTTTTCTGAAAGAATACAGGCATACCTCGTTTTATGCGCTCTGCTTTGTTGCACTTCACAGACACTGCATTTCTTTACAAATTGAAGGTCTGTAACAACACTGTGGCCAACAAGTCTGTTGGTGCCATTTTTCCAACAGCATTTGCTTATGTCATGTCTCTGTGTCATAATTTGGAAATTCTCCCAATATTTCAAACCTTTTCATTACTGTTATGTTCATTTTGGTGATGTGTGATCAGTGATTTTTTTTATGTTACTTGTAACGGTTTGGGGGCTACCTGAACCGCATTATATAAGGCAGTGAACTTAAGTAATAAATATTCTGTGTGTTCTGACTGCTCCACTGACCAGCCCTTCCCCTCTCTTCCCTTCTCCTAGGGCCTCCCAATTCATCAAGACACCATGTTGAAATTAGGCCAATTAATAATCCCATGTTGGCCTCTAGGGGCGCCTGGGTGGCTCAGTCAGTGAAGCCCCTGCCTTCGGCTCAGGTCGTGGTCCCAGGGTCCTGGGATGGAGCCCCACGTCGGGCCCCCTGCTCAGCGCGGAGTCTGCTTCTTCCTCTGCCCCTCCCCCCATCATGCTCATGCTCTCTCACTCTCTCCCTGTCTCATAAATAAAATCTTTAAACAAAAAACTGTAATGACCTTTAAGTGTTCAAGTGAAAGGAAGAGTCAATCAAGGTTGCAAACTTCTATCTTGTCTTATTTTAAGAAACCGCCACAGACACCCCAACCTTCGGCACACCCTACCCTGACCAGCCAGCAGCCATCAACATCCAGGCAGGACCCTCCACCAGCAAAAAAGATGATGCCTCACGGAAAGGTCTGAGTATGGGTAGCATTTTCCAGCAACAGAGTATTTTTTAATTAAGGAGGGAACATTGGTTTTTTTTTTAGATTAATGTTGTACAGTTAATAGATTACAGTATAGTGTAGACATAACTTTTATATGCAATGGGAAACAAAAAAATTCATTTGACTTGATTCATCACAATATTCGCTTCATTGACAGGTGTGGACCTGGACCCACGGGATCTCTGAGTATGTCTGCACTGACCATTTGTTGGAAGAAGGATCGTCTGCTTCCGGACTCCAGCTGACCGCAGGTAACTGAAACCACGGAAAGCAAGACCGCAGATAAGGGGAAGTATTATATAGGGATTTCCATGCCAAGGTAGCATGACACCAAGAAACTAGTTTATCCACTCTTACCATTATTGCCAAGGTCTGCTTAACTTAGAAAGACCTAAGTTTTTAGATCCAGTCTGTTAATTTTCAAAAGCACAAGACGAGGTAGTTCAACACTGAGATAAATTGCTTACCACTGCATCCAGGAATTCAATGCATCCTTTTAGATCATGTTGTGTATCACAGAATTCCCTGAAGAGAAGTCTTCCTATTGGCTGCTTGTCACAAAGACTGCTATAATCCTTTTCTGGATGAAGAAAGGGGATAAGAAATAAACCAATATGATTGTTACAATTCAGAAAGTGTTTTCTGAACTGCTGTTTTCACCTGATAAAGTAAAAGCCAAAAATAGTATTTATGGGTTGTTTCTTTTTTTAAATGACTTGATTGTTTACTAATGTAGACTGGGTCATCATGAATATTTATAGTATCTGGATAGAGCCAAAGGACCTGGAAGAACTGATAAATAAAGGTGTGTGAAGCATACCTGGAAATGTCCCTGCCCCCCTCCTCCAAAAGGAATTCTGCAGGGGAGAGGTATTCCTGGGGAACTGAGCAGTCAAGATCACAGCAAAGGGAGAGGGGGGCAAAAAAGAGATCTGGCTCCATCCTTCCACAGGCCTAACCCCCAGTGTGTTGGGCACAAATTGCACGTATGTGAAATACACCACAGGAATGTACTCAAGCACCTTTTTTAAAACTCTTTTCCATTTTGCTATCTTTTTATACTTTTACAAGTTACAAACATTACATATGCTTAATTATTTTTAAACTGCTCTTGGGTTTATTTTTTTTCTTTTCAGTGGGTAATATGTTATATAACTTAACCTTACCACACACACTGATAATGTTTTGAGAACAAGGCACTAATATTTAGTCAAAATATCACGAGGGATATAAAACAAAAATGTCATGTTCAAAATAGGTTAACTTAAACATCAGCAAGAAAATCAGTTGCTCTTCTACCAGTGGCTCTGAACCTGAAATGAACATCATATTGAAGTATTCCTAAAGTGGCTCTAAAGCTAAAGAATTAAATAAAATTCATGAAAAGTAAGCAAGCCATAATAAATTCCTCAATTAAAGGGTTTATTCATGCCAAGTAGTTGTAAGAATCTAAACAACCCTACTTTAGGTGGCTGAGTTTGCAAATGGAAAACTATAGGCAAGGAGAGAAATATTTTGGTTGCCAGTACACAGGCGCTTGTTTCAACAAACAATAGTTTCGCAAAATTTCTACCACCTACTTTGTCCAATTTTACTACCACATTTTATTTGAGGGATACTATATTTAAAAAACAAAAGACACAGGCAGTCAAAAAGTGACATTTTTACAATACTGAGAGTTTTTAACACTTTCCTCCCAAATTCAAGGGTTCAGGAATGTTCCTACTTCCAGCTAAGGAGGTGTGCCTACTTTTTCTCCAAGATTCCTATAGAAATGACCAAAAATTCAAACAAAAGCCAAAGCCACAACAAAAAGAATGAAACCCAACATGGAAAACGAATACAAGGCACCCACAGGAGTCCGAAATTTGAGGATTACCTGGAAGAGAAAAAGCCGCTGGGTTGGATTGTTAAAGAACCCTCAGCTGAAACCCTACAGAAGAGCTGGACTTCCTAAGGGAGCCCCGCCCACATGCCTAGAGCCCAGTGAGGGGGGTGGGGGGCTGGGGGGGGGGGCAGGGGATGTCCAAGTCCTGATCAGAATGACTGGCTAAGGGCCTAAGATTTAGAGGCACCGCAAAGTGCTAAACATAACCAATGATGGCTGACCCACATCCCGAGGCATCCCGGTGACATTCCCAACAGTCAGGAGAAAGGAGGAAACCTCTGAGAAAGAGCAAAACATTAGCTACAACACCTAAAGCATCAGAGACGCTGTATTAACAAAGCCAGAAACCAGGACACCAATGTCTTCAAAGTTCAGGGGTCAAGGGAGGTGGAAATATACAATTCTGTAACTATCGAACAAGAAGTCAAAAAGGGGACATTTTCCAAAATTTAAGAACTCAGAAACTTTACCTTCCATTCACCCTATATATTAAAAAAAAAAAATTACTAAAAAAAAAAAAAGAAGAAGAAGAAAAATTACTTGAGGAGTTATCATAATAAAACAAGAGAAATTTTAAAAAGAATATAGAGGGGCGCCTGGGTGGCTCAGTCGTTGAGCGTCTGCCTTCGGCTAAGGTCATGATCCCGGGGTCCTGGGATCGAGCCCCGCATCGGGCTCCCTGCTCCGTGGGAAGCCTGCTTCTCCCTCTCCCACTCCCCCTGCTTGTGTTCCCTCTCTCGCTGTGTCTCTCTCTGTCAAATTAAAAAAAAAGAAAAGAAAGAAAGAAAATAGAAACCAAAATGGACAAACAGTGGGTATAATCTAGAAGAAGCAAAGAAATACAGAAAAATAAATAACCTTATCAAGATATTGGGAATACTGTCCTTGGCAAAGTGTGATCGGTGCAGAATAGTTTCCTTTTATTGGCTCCAACCACACTTGCTCGCTTCCAGATCACATGGAATATAATTATAATATGTACTACTGTACCATATTTTAACTCTTAAAAGAGTCTGTGGACCAAGAGACAGAGAAGGTAAGTGACTGACCCAACAAATAGGTCAGAGTGGCTGAAAAAGGGGACTCAGGGAAGCAAAATGTAGAGGCAAACGAAGCTTTACAAAACTGGAGGGAAAAAAACAAGACTGGGATCACATTTCCACAGAAGCCTGGATACCTACCAAGGAACTCCCTCTACCTTAGGAGGAACAGAGCATAATAACTAGTGGCCATGCTTCTTCACCTGTCACCGTGTGCCAGGTACTATTTTGAGTCCTTTCTGTGTATTATTTCACTGACTCTTCACAATCGTAGGTTTAGCATCTTAAGGAAAGCAGAGACCTTTTGGGAACTGCTCGCTCCTGAGGGCCACCCAGATCCCAGGGCAGTGAGGTGAAGTGGGGCAGTAGAGGCCGGGGCCAGGGGACCAGCCAGCAGGAAGAGCAGCTGGCCCGGAAAAAGGCGGCACCGTGGGAAGGAAGAGGCCAATTCTCTGGTGACAAAAGAATTTCAGAACACAATTCATTCAGATTCTGTCAAGTCTCCCGCCGAACAGTGAGGACATTACTGAAGACATTACGACAGAAACCAGAGGAGCCCTATTCTCAAGGAACCCATCCTCTGCTGAGGGGACAATGAGGAAGCTGATGGGGTAAACAGGTAGAAGGCAGCGCCCCTCATGGAGATGATAACCTGTGAGCGGAACAGTCCCAGACTCGGGCTTGTACTGTGGGCAACAAGATCTGTATTGTGTAGGCAGCACTGAGGAAATCAAGATCATTCGCTGGTAGAAAACAGAAGGGAGGGGCCGGTTGGGTCCCCTGAGCAGAGGAAGGGGCTGCAAAGCCGATAGCCAGAATTACATATGTGGGGTAGGAGACCCCTTTGAGACACCGAGGGTTGCAGAATTGCTCCACAGCCTGGGAGAGCTGGGGTGGACGCCACGGCAGGGGGTCAGGAGGGAACAGCCTGACCAGGGAGAAAACAGTGCACTCCAAATTAACCTGGCTTATTTGGCAAAGCCAAATGTCTGAAGTTTAAGTTTATTGGGTGTGGGGGGGGTAGCTGTGGATATATTTCAGTTTGTTTTGCATTTTATATTTATATCATCCTCAGATACTAAAAAACACTTGCTTGTTAGAGATGATTCCATTCAAGCTTTCCAGATTTATTTCTGGATATGCCTTAATTTTATCCAGAACTCTTAGCTGCTAGATCTGAGTCTCTACTTGTAAAGGAAGCTACAAGTCTGAATTTAGGTGCAAGGAGGAAGAACATAAGATTATTCACACATTTTAAGTCTATATCCTAAAGTTCAGATACTATGTAAATTTCTATCATAACTATAAAATCTCTTGAGTAAATGATCACATGATGTAAGCCACATTTTCTGAAAGATCTGTAAAAACATAAACACAGGATAAGAGCCCCTTGGGTTTTTCCAGAAGGAAGCAGGGTAAAATCAAAGAGCATGAGGAGGTCTGAGACAAGACCAGGTCACGTGGCCTGCACCTCACAGTCCTCTGGAAAATGAGACCGCGGCCCTGCGCCCACAGCGCCAGATCAGTGAGGGAAACGAAGGGTCTCAGCACACCACCTGCTGAGAAGGCCGATCAGCGGGAGTCTGGTGCTGGGGACAGGAGTCCTCCAGTGTGATGGGAGACAATGGGCACACCCAGACTGGACAGCACTGCTACGGGCACCTCACAGGAAGGCCTCTCATTTTACCCAGGCCAGTTTTTTTAGATTGGCTCAGGTACAGTAGCAAAAATGATGCGTGGTTCAAAAAGACCTTAATTCTAAAATCTTCCACTTATATTTGCGTGGTGGGAACATAGGTGATGATTTACTCAGGAAAGTCCTTTAATTATTTCAAAATATTTCATCACGCATACAATCTCCTCCATCCTACAGCAATTTAAAATTTTCACCCTGGGGCGCCTGGGTGGCTCAGTCGTTGGGCGTCTGCCTTCGGCTCCGGTCATGATTCCGGGGTCCTGGGATCGAGCCCCGCATCGGGCTCCCTGCTCGGCGGGAAGCCTGCTTCTCCCTGCTTCTCCCTCTCCCACTCCCCCTGCTTGCATTCCCTCTCTCGCTGTGTCTCTCTCTGTCAAATAAATAAATAAATAATCTTTAAAAAAACTAAAATAAAATAAAATTTTCACCCTGATGACATTAACAGAATCTTAGAGCAATGACAGCAACATCACAGAACCTATATGAAGAAAAAAATATATAAAAAAAAGAACCTATATGAAGTAATATACAGGGAATTAAAAAAAAATGTTTCTCTAAAATCAATCTTTAAAAACCTGACACTTAAATAATCACAAAAGCTTTAAATCTATTACTTTTTACCTTATCTGGCTCACAATTCTATTAATGATTTCACTTTTCCATGCATTAGATTTCACATATTACTAAAATTAAATACCATATACCACAGAAATGTGTCACAAAATACATCTCAGAAACAACAGACAGCCTCCTTCTGTATTCCCCTCAGAGGCCCTGGTCCTACAGGAACCAGAAGACCCAGCTTCTTCTTTTGACCCCTCAGAGACTACACAGTGAACCACCTACTGTTCCAGCCCTGAGTGAGCAGAAATGGCGGAAGAGAGAGAGGCCACACCGCACAGGGCATTCGGGCCCCAGGGAGGGAAGAGCCTGACCACAGTGGACAGGGAGAACCAGCAGAGAAGCCCCCTGGGGCTGGAACACTCAGTGCACCAGAGTCCAAGTCCACTCCTGACAGGCACTCTCCTGATGGGCCGTGCTGGAAAGGGAACCAGCTAATCAAGAGACTGGTGTTTCTAAATGCACCAAATTCAGAGGCAAGGATGAGCCATTTATCAGAAGCTCTCTCTCTTATTTTCAAAGTGATCCTCCTTTAGAAAGGACACTAACTCAAAGTTTCATAGCTCATGGATTCTCCAGCACCCACAAATTTAGAACCACCAAAGGACAAAAATTAGAAAACCCAAAATATGCTTACTACCACACTAAATCAAATGCATATGTAAACTAATAAAATAAAGAGCTGCATACCAAGTAGAGGGTATCTGAGTGGAAACGTTCTTTTACTCCGTGAGGAAGTCTGCTTGTACATCTGCCCTGAAGCAACTCTAGCTACGGTCACCAATTTATTCATTCATTTAACAAAACTGGCTGAGCACTATTCTAGAGATGGAAACAAAGATCCTGACCTTGGGGACACATCCAGCAGCCGCTCAACCTTTCTTCAACACGCCCACCTGCCTGGAGCCATCCTAGGCCTCGGTTCTCTGGACCGTCCGCTCTCCAGACTGCACACAGACCCATCTGGCTGCTCCTCCTTGGTCTGTTTTGCCTGAGCCACACCAGGATGTCAGGATGTGAGGGCCCTTTCCCGTCCTCCTGTCTCTAGGGAGAGCTTATCCACTCCCAGTCATGTGACTCCTAAATGCCAGGGACACACAGATATCTCTCAGATTGCACCTACAGCCCAGACTCTTCTTTTTTTTTTTTTTTAAGATTTATTTATTTATTTATTTGACAGACAGAGAGAGAGAGAGACAGCGAGAGAGGGAACACAAGCAGGGGGAGCGGGAGAGGGAGAAGCAGGCTTCCCGCGGAGCAGGGAGCCGGATGCGAGGCTCGATCCCAGGACCCTGGGATCATGACCTGAGCCGAAGGCAGTCACTTAACCAACTGAGCCACCCAGGCGCCCCAGCCAGATTCCACTTCTTAAAGATCTCACAAAGTCATTCGGTTCCATGGCCTCCAGCCGACACTGAATTTCCATCACTCTTGCCCGCACAATATCAACAGTGTCTCCTTTGGCCTCCCGGCTCCCCTTCTCCAAACTCTCAGTCACAGTCCTCACACTGAGGCCCGAGATGCCCTTCAGAAACGTGCATCCACTTAGGTCATCCCTCTGCTGAAAATCTGACAGCGTCGACTTTCAACTAAGACAAATGCCCTTACCAGGACCACGAGCCCCACCTCCCTCCCTTCCTCTCATCCAGTGCCACTGTCCCCCTTTGTCTCCGCTCCAGGAACACTGGCCTTTTTCATGTCCCTGGAAATTGCCAGGCTCCGACCCACTTTGGGGTCCTGTACTTACCAAACAGTCTGTACCTCTTCCTTCAAAGGGCTTACTGCAATTTGTAATTACGTTTATTTCTGCAATTCTTTATTTTATAACTATCTCTGCCAAGAGGGCAGAGGTCACATCTGTTTCTTAGCCACTGTATTGGTAGTGCCATGCCCAGCGCTGGGTACACGGAAGTGAAAAAACGATGACATTTAAAAGTTAACTGATACTGTTGTATACCTTAAACTTACACGGTGTTATAAGTAAATTACATCTCTCAACGAAAATAAACTAATTTTTCAAAAAGAGCATGAACTGGGGAGAAAAAGTTAACTAATGGGACATTTAGTGTAATTTACTTCATTCTATGCACTAAAACCTACCCCCAAAGAATCAGAAGCATACTGAGGTAATTAATATGCAAGTAGACATGAGAATGTTTCTATAACCCTATGAATATATTCAACAGCATAAAGTCCCAAAGTAAAGTTTATAATATCTTAATTACAATGCAAATGTCAAATAACGGAATCAACCTCCATACTAATCACTCAGTGCTATATGCAGAAAATACTATTAACACTATGGATCAAATATCAACTGGCTCAAAGAAGCATGGCCAATAATCAATAAAAAGATGCTCGACATCATTAGTCACGAGTGAAATGCAAATCACACTCACTAGGATGGCTATAATGAAAATAAGTGTTGGCAAGGATGTGGAGAGCCTGAAACTCTCATGTATTGCTGGTGGGAATATAAAATATGCAGCTGCTTTGGAAAACAGTTTGCCAGTTCCTAAAAAAGTGAAGCCTAGAGTTACTGTCTGTAGCAGGCTGAATAATGGCCCTCCCAATGTATCAGGTCCTAAACCCTATAAATATGACCTTATTTTAAAAAAAGAGCCTTTGCAAATATGATTAACTCAAGGATCTTGAGATGGAAGACTGTCCTGGATTATCTGGGTGGGTCCTAAATACAAATATGTGAATCCTCACAAGTGTGTAGAAATAAACCCTCACCTTTATAGTCAGGTGATTTATAAAGGCACTAAGAGGACTCTGAGAAACAAACAGGGTTTTAGAGGGGAGGGGGGAAGAAGGGGGATTGGTTAGCCCAGTGATGGGTATTAAGGAGGGCACGTACTGCAAGGAGCACTGGGTGTTATACGAAAACAATGGATCGTGGATCACCACATCAAAAACTAATGATGTGGGCGCCTGGGTGGCTCAGTTGGTTAAGCGACTGCCTTCGGCTCAGGTCATGATCCTGGAGTCCCCGGATCGAGTCCCACATTAGGCTCCCTGCTCAGCGGGGAGTCTGCTTCTCCCTCTGACCCTCCCCCCTCTCATGCTCTTTCTCTCTCATTCTCTCTCTCTCAAAATAAATAAATAAATAAAATCTTTAAAAAAAAACTAATGATGTATTGTATGGTGGCTAACATAACAACAAAATTTTTAAAAAAATAAAGGCAGTAAGACAATTCAATGGTGAAAAAATCGTCATTTCAATGAATGGTTCTGGAACAACAGGATATCCAATGCAAGAGACTGAAACTGGATCCCTACCTCATGCCATACATAAAAATTAATTCCAACTGGATCAAACACCTAAATGTGAGAGCTAAAACTATAAAACTCTTAGCAGAAAGTATAGGTGTAAATCTATGTGACTTTGGATTAAGTAGTGGTTTCTTGGCTATGACACCAAAAGCACAGCAATAAAAGAAAAAAATAGATCAATTGGACTTCATCAAAATAAAAACTTGTGTTCCTCAAAGAACATCATCAAGAAAGTAAAGGAAAACAAAGAATGGGAGAATATATTTGAAAATCAAATATCTGATAAGAGTCTAGTAACTAGAAATATAAAGAACACTTACATTTCAACAATGAAAAGATAAACAATCCAATTAAAAAATGGGCAAAGGGGGTGCCTGGGTGTCTCAGTCAGTTAAGCAAGCATCCAACTCAGAGAGATCTCAGAGTCGTGAGTTCAAGCCCCACACTGGGCTCCCCACGCTGGGCGCAGAGCCTACTTAAAAAAAAAAAAAATGGGCAAAGGATTTGAACAGATTATTTCTCCAAAGAAGATATACAAATGGCCAATAAGTACATGAAAAGATATTCAACATCATTAGTCATTTTTGGGAAGCACAGATCAAAACACAATGAGATAGGGATGCCTGGCTGGCTCAGTCAGAGGATCATATGACTCTTGACCTCGGGGCTGTGAGTTCAAGCCCCATGCAGGGTGTAGAGATTACTTAAATAAAGAAAACTTAAAAAAAAAAAAACCCACACACACAGTGAAATACCACTTCACACTCACTCAGATTGCTATAATAAAAACAAAACAGAAAATAAAAAGTATCAGGGAGGACATGAAGAAACTGGAATCCTCATATATTGTTGGTGGGAACACAAAATGGTATAGCCACATTGGAAAACAGTCTGGCAGTGCCTTACAAAGTTAAACATAGAATTATCATATTATCCAGCAATTCTAATTCTGGGTACATACACAAAAGAATTGAAAGCAGGGACTCAAACATTTGTACACCAATGTTCCTAGCAACGTTATCCACAATAGCCAAATGGTAGAAACAACCCATTCAACAGATGAATGGATACACAAAATGTAGTATGTACATACAATAATCAAATCAATGCCACTGAACTTTATATTTATAAATTGTTAAAATATTTAAAAATGGTCAATCAGTTGGTTAAGCATCTGACTCTTGGTTTCAGCTCAGGTCATGATTTCAGGGTCACGAGATCAAGCCCCACGTCAACTCCATACTCTGCACGGAGTCTGCTTGTCTCCCTCTCCCTTTGCCCCTCCCTGCCACGTGTGCACGCTTGCTCTCTCAAATAAATAAAATCTTTTAAAAATGGTTAAAATGGTAATTTTTATGTTTACTCTACCACAAAGAAAACACTTGTATATGAATGTTTCTAGCAGCATTATTCATTTGGGGCTTTTTAAAAAGATTTTATTATTTATTTATTCATTTGACAGAGAGAGAGATAGTGAGAGCAGGAACACAAGCAGGGGGGAGTGGGAGAGGGAGAAGCAGGCTTCCTGCTGAGCAGGGAGCCCGATGCGGGGTTCGATCCCAGGACCCTGGGCTCACGACCTGAGCCAAAGGCAGACGCTTAAGGACTGAGCCACCCAGGCGCCCCTACCACACTTAGGCAGCATTATTCATAAGAGACAAAAAAATTTAAACAACTCATCGATCTACTGATGAATGGATAAGTAAGAAGTGATATATCCATACAATGAAATGTCATTTGCCAAGAAAAAGGAATTAAGTACTGATTCATGCTACAGCGTGGATGAACCTAGAAAACACTGTGACTTGATTAGAAAACTAATCATCTAGAGATGATTAGTTGGGTCAAGGGGAGAGGAACTTTTACTATATTACTCTTCTGTTCTATATAGAACAATGAGCACATATTACTTCTTAAAAGAATAGCATCTAACAAATGGTACAATGCCAGACATGATCTCCAGGCTGGCACTGCTTACTCACCAATGGAATGTCTAAGCTCGCTGCACTGGCTGACAGGGGGCAGCTTCAGCATTTCCCTCCATTTTTTACTACGACCACTTTTTTTGCCATAGCTTCCTAAATTTGGGGAAAAAAAGTATTTTTTTTAATGATCAGAAATATCCAACTATAACAACTATTTCCACCAATATATTCTGTTTGAGTAGTTTGGTACCTATGGTGAGTGAAAATACAAGCTTATAATAATTTGTCTTATCTAGAAGGCAGCTTGACAAGTATAAAAAATCCCAAGTGATGCAATCAGTCACTGGCTTTATCATTTAGAAACCATGTGACCCTGATCTTCTATAACTAACTCTGCTGAGCCTAAGCTTCCAAATTTGTGAATTGGACCTACCATGACATATCATACATGGTTGCATCCCTACCATGGAGCAAATGCCTGCAAAGGACAGGAAAAATACAATGGTAAAAAGGACAACATCCCTCCCCTCCATTCTAGTGAGGGAGAGAGATTTTTTTAACAAGGAGGTAATGATAAGTGATTAAAAAAAATAGCCAATTATACAGTACTAAATGGTATACAACAAAATCAAGCAAGGCGAAGATGAAGGGTGCTACTAGGGCTAAGGTGAGATTAGAGGAGGCCTCTCAAAAGGGTCACACTTAGGCAGAGACCTGATGGGGGTGAGGGGCTAAGCCCTGGAAAGATGTGGAAGCAAGACAAGAACCGTGGAAAAAGCTATTAGATGATATTTTAGCAGATGGCGGCTACGCTGCAGGAAGCATGGCATAAAGTATAGAGATAAGTGAATCACTATATTGTACACCTGAAACTAATGCAACATTGTGTGTCAACTATATTCAAATAAAAGAAAATTTTTAGGGGCGTCTGGGTGGCTCAGTTGGTTGAGCGACTGCCTTTGGCTCAGGTCATGATCCTGGAGTCCCAGGATCGAGTCCCACATCGGGCTCCCTGCTCAGCAGGGAGTCAGCTTCTCCCTCTGACCCTCTTCCCGCTCACGCTCTCTATCTCTCATTCTCTCTCTCTCAAATAAATAAATAAAATCTTTAAAAAAAAAAGAAAATTTTTAATAAAGTAAAATAAAAATTTTAAAAGATAATATTTTAGAAAGATCTTTTTAAATAAGCCCCTTCAAACAAAACTCAAGAGAAATTAGAACCTTCAATTTTAAGCATTCTGAGGAGCTGAAATTTTATTAAATTATGTCCAAGAGAAACATCACAGTTTTGGCCAGTGACTAAAAGACTTCAGGGCTATTGGAAAGAATAGAGAAATCGGGAGGAAAGCCATGTTCTAGGAAGTGATGAGCCCTGCCTTAAGCACGGTGAGTGAAGCACTATGAGGGAAAGCCATCTGGAGGAGCTCAGGAGAGAAGGCCTGGCTAGAGGTACGGATTTGACAGTAGTCTGCCGAATAGATAACGCTCCTCTACCCACCCCCTCCATCTCAACTGGGATCATGGTTCTAGACTTATATCCACTATGCAGAGGTCCCAGAGCACCTCAAGGTCAACAGGTTCAAATCTGACTCAATTGTCTTCCCCTCCAATTCAACCCTCTTTCCACACTATGCCCCCAGTTAATTACCCACCATCTACTAGGCAAATGGAGCTGGAAACTGGGGCACTATCTAGTTCTGTCTCTGAAGTGCCTCACCCATTTATTCAGAAAGCACTTGCAGCCCAAGTCCCGTGTGCTGGGCACTGTCCAGGCACCAGGCATACAGCAGGTGGCCACCCTGCCTGCAAAGGTGCTCCTGCCCCCTGCTCTCCTTGCCCACGCTATTACCAAGGTCATCGGCCTCTTCTGACAGGCCTTCCTACCTCCAGTCTTCCCTTCCAGACCCCCCTCCACACTGCCTTCCACTGTTACCTTCCTAAAATGCAAGTATCAGCTCACTTCTGAGTCTAGGGCTGAAGGGAAAATAAAGCACAGCCCTAACATCATTCCACAGGCACACCATGCCAAAGGCACACTGTCTATGAAGGCCCCTAAGAAGCAAGAGCAGGTTCCCTCCAGGAACCACAAGTGTCTGGACTGTCACTCTGGCCTTATTAGTGTAGACAAATCTCTACTCAGCTCAAGCAGAACGCCCCCCCCCAACAAAGCCTACCCTGTCTTTCCTAGGGAGATGCAGGCACTCTTTCCTTTTCATGCCCTTTGCATCTGAAAAACATCTTCATTAAATCTCAGCAAGGGCAGGTTCTAGGTTCATGGTCTTATTCCCAATGTATCTCCAGCATTCGAAACATGATTGAAGGGATGTAAGGGGGCTCCAGGCACACTGCACACAGCAGACACCAAAGGAATGTTTGCTAACTTTGAGGAGACCTGAAAAGTTGCAGAAGCTGACTATTGCAATGAGTCAGGTGGGATGAAATTGCCAAGGTCTAGGAGGAGGAGGAGGAGTAAGAGTTAGATTTACTGAGTCTTTATTATGTACCAGACACCTTTCTAGGAGCTTCATATATATTGACTCATTGAATCATCCCTCACCCTATGATGAAAATACTACCACTATTCCCTTTTCTCAGATAAGGGACCAAAGCAAAGAGGCCAAATCACCTGTCCAACATCACACAACTAGTGAGATGTGTGGCTCTGCTCCAGGAATCCTGCTTAACCATTACTGCTATTAAGAAGCAAAATGGTGTAACCAAAGCCTTTTTACAAAAAGTACACAAACATTTAAAATACATTATTTGCCATAAACACATTTAGAAATTAAGCTGGGATTTGAGCCCACATAATCACACTGGCCAAACTGGGACACTACCTTTGTCATAATAGCTGTTTTACTATCAATAAACAGAACCACCAAGGTAAATGCATAATGTGAGAAAGAACTGAACCCCTGTCTACAAATTCTGCTGGATATTAAGGGGTTTGGGGGTCGGTTTTCTACTATGAATACCATAATTATTTTTGTAACATATTCTTTATAACATATTCTATATTTCTGTAATATATTATATACCATCCCTAGTCCTAGACCCACCAGAACCAATCACAATCAAAAATTTAGTGTGTTTGTAAATGTGTGTGTGTGAGTGTGTATAGCCTTTAACAATATATTGTTTTGGAGCAAGATTCTTTTTTTTTTTTTTAATGGGGTGGGCCCCTTTGACTTGCTGAACTTTATTTATTTTTTATTTATTTGAGAGAGAGAGAATGAGAGATAGAGAGCACGAGAGGGAAGAGGGTCAGAGGGAGAAGCAGACTCCCCGCAGAGCAGGGAGCCCGACGTGGGACTCGATCCCGGGACTCCAGGATCATGACCTGAGCCGAAGGCAGTCACCCAACCAACTGAGTCACCCAGGCGCCCTAGAGCAAGATTCTTAACCTGGCATTCACAGGCAGATATCAGGGTGTCCCAGAATTTGGACAGAAAAAAATCACCTCTAGCTTCACTAATTTCTAAGCAAAATTCATCATTTCTTTCAGTCATAAATGTAGGCAAGAGTATTATAATATTAGTAGTATCTGTGACTTCAACACCAAGAGCATTCAGATTTTCCTATCACATTACAGTTGGTAGAGAGAACTCAAAATATTTATGCTCACACTACTTTGAAATTATCATAGAGGCACCAGACTAGCTGCCAGACTGTCTACAAGTACTCAGGTGATGGAGCCAAGCAACCCCTGGGCAGCTCTGTGCCTGGTAGTTAATTCCTCAGACTCTAAATGGCGAGGTCCTATGTTCTCACATGGATGGTCCAGCTACGTATTTTACTCTCTGTGACTCCCCACAACTGTGTTGATGGACACATAGAAGCAGGTGAGTCAAAGGCCATCCCACAGTCTAAAAGCCCCATTCAAACTAGCCATGATGGCCTTCACACTGATGGATCTTTAAAAGATGAAAACTTTAACCTGCTTATATATTTATTGCCTTGTACTTAACTCTGATAACAGAGCACTTTTATAACACAAATCTGTTTAAAAAATTTTTACAATTATTTCAATATAGCTGACTTCTTTTACAATCGTATGTACTTTACTTAGATTAAGAACCCCTACTCTAGAGGTTGTTAACAAGAATGGTGTGCCCCTGGGGCGCCTGGGTGGCTCAGTTGGTTAAACATCTGCCTTCGGCTCAGGTCACGATCTGGAACCCTGGCATCATGAGCCCCACGTCAGGCTCCCTGCTCAGAGGGGAGTCTGCTTCTCCCTCTGCCCTTCACCCAGCCCGTGCTCTCTCTCTCTCAAATAAATAAATAAAATCTTTTAAAAAAATGGTGTGCTACTGCATACATCACTCCACAACTTGATTTTTTCCACACAGCTTAGTCCGTTTTGACACAGGCTGTTCACTGTCCCAGCCAGGCTCTCTCCTGCTTCTCTCTCCCCACCCCCACCCCCAGTTTCATGTTTCATGGCCCAAAACGCTCTTCCTCAGCAAAGCTAGATCCCTTATTTCCTCAGGTCTTTGCTCCTGGCCACCCAACATGAGCTTTCATGCCCTACCTCCATGCCTAACCCTTAGCAGCCCCCTTCTCTGCTTTATTATCTTTTCTTGACCCTTATCACTGTCCACTATATAATCTATTTCGTGTATCTTGCTGAGGACCTGTCTCCCCATGAGAATAGAAACTCCTTGAAGAGAGAGGTTTATCTGTATTAATCACAGCTGTAACCTCGATAGCTAGATGAGTGGCTGGCATAAAATAGACATTCAATAACTATTTGGTGAATGAGTGAATGAATTTGTTTTAATTACTATATAGTAATCTACTATATAAATATTCTATTTATCTACTTCTTATTGATGGTCATTTAATGTTTCTGCTTTCCAGTATTACAAATAATGTTACAGCAAACATTCTCACAAATGTCTCTTTTACCACCATTTCTGCAGAGTATATGCCTAGAAGAGTTCTTGACCTGGGTGTGTGATTTTTTTCAACATTAATGGATACTGTTCAATTGTTCCCCAAAATGGTTGTATATTACGATTACTTAAAATACAGCATACATACTGGGTGTAATACCCTTGATAGCCACTCAGGAGTTACTTTTCATATGTAACATAAATTTGTTGAATCAAAACGGAGACACCTTCTCTTCCTTCACTTTATTTATT